ATGAGACCCCTGAGTCTTTTGCTCTCTTTGGGAAATTGTGAATACTTTGCGGCACCCCTTGGAAACACCAAGGATTTGAAAGGGCTTATTGACTGTCAAAGTCAGAAAACTTAACTGTAACCAGAATAGTCTTATGATATGTAATCCATGCATGCCTCTGCTTTTTTCTGTACCATAACCTATTGATACATTATTGCTGTAGTCATCCTAAATCTTCCATCCTATGGCAGGAGATTTCAAGTTTTTTCTATAGTGTAGGGTGCTCTCCATTTGGAGAGAAGATTGAGAGAGCCAAAGACAGAAGGCATGCTCTGATCTGCATGCCCATGTACCAGCACAGCACGAGGAATCATAATGCTGTCAGTGGGCAGAGGTAAGGCTAAAAGAATACAGCTTCGTGTGTTTATGGTGCAAGGTTTCTTGTGTGTGGACTTGCACATCTTGAGGTATTCCAGTTACTGGGGATTAGTTCTTTGTTTTACATACTTGTACCACTGAGAAACATGGCAAAGGCATAAAATAACTGGTAATGTGAAATGCATATTTTTTCAATCTATTGAAAAAAGATCTCCAATGAAATTGAAGGAAGAGAAAGACCACTAACAAATCAGTCTGAATAATTAGCTTTCATAGATATCGTAGATGTTAGATTAATAAGCAAAATTATCTATATAGAATAGCATCATTGAATCATTTAGGTTGGAAAAGACCCTTAAGATCATCGAATCCAACCATTAACTTAACACGGCCAGGCCCACCACCAAACCATGTCCCCAGGCACCACATCTAGGTGTGTTTTAAATACCTCCAGGGATGGTGACTCAACCACTTCCCTGGGCAGCCTGTTCCAATGATTGACAACCCTTTGGGTGAAGAAATTTTTCCTAACATCCAGTCTAAACCTCCCCTGGTGCAACTTGAGGCCATTTCCTCTTGTCCTATCGCTTGTTATTTGGGAGAAGAGACCAACACCCACCTGGCTACAACCTCCTTTCAGGTAGTTGTAGAGACTGATAAGGTGTCCCCTCAGCCTCCTTTTCTCCAGGCTAAACAACCCCCGTTCCCTCAGCCGCTCCTCACAGGACTTGTGCTCTAGACCCTTCACCAGCTTCTTTGCTCTTCTTTGGACACGCTCCAGCACCTCAATGTGTTTTTGGTAGAGAGGGGCCCAAAACTGAACACAGGACTCGAGGTGTGGCCTCACCAGTGCTGAGTACAGGGGGATGATCACTTCCCTGGCCCTGCTGGGCACACTGTTTCTGATATAGATTGGCAGCGTGTGCTGATTCACAGCACACAGTATTTTTAGTAAAATATTATCCCTTACTTATAAGAATTTTCCCAGCCATTAGCCGATAATATAAAGTATTGAATGACTACAGAGAGATTATTTTAGGATAAAGTTTTTTGCATGTCTTTAAAGTTTCTGACAAGAACTGTCCTCAGAATCTGGGTACAGCATTTGCTGTTTTTATACGTGTGACAATTCCAATGACAATAAGCCAGATGACTAAGATTTCAGCAGAGACGTTGTCAGGGTATGAGTAGATGCTGTCTCTGTCCCAAGACTCTCCGTAAGCAGCTAAACAGGCAAAGACGATAAGAATAATTACTTACTTTCCTGAGAAGTGTAAAATAACAATGTACGTTGATGGAATGGTTCAGAGAGTCACAAACAAAAGTATCTTGGAGAGTCTCTTCCTCAAATTTTATATGTTAGAACCCAGAAAGCATTACTATAATTATGAATCCTTTCTTACTTATAGGAAATATGTAGCTGGACTGACTGTAGTCTTAAAGGAACACACACAAAAAATCAAGCAATGTTATCAAAATTATTTCTAAAATTATATATATAAATATTTATCTAGAGGTCTGAGGATTTGCCCTTATTTTCAGCAATACTAAATACAGCTCTCATTGAAGTCAACTTTAAATCACTTAAAATCTCTTTTTCGATGGTACTGGTTTAGCTGTGCAATTTGACATTATGATGTGAATTTGTTTCTCATCGGCTCTCCCTGACTAGAAATATAGCCTATCAGCCCCGTTAATACTAAAATAACTGAAGTGTGACCTAGCAGTGTAAAATGTCCTTAGACAGTTCTTTGCTTACAAGAATGCTCCTCCAAAAGGTATTATGTTCATAGTAGCTCTTTAGTTTAGCCAGCTATTAGTAGAAGTGCTGTGTATTAATTTTACATCCTTGGTTTCAGAAAAAAATTCAGTGAGATTGTCACAATCTGCAGGGATCAACCATTCTTTGGGTGGTGTGTTTTCTTGGAGTGCCCGATAATGTTAGAAGTAGATATGAGTAAATAATTAAAGATGTAATGTACCAGCAGGCTACAAAGCAAGAGAAGGTCTCACGGTTTCTGTAGGTGGTGCATCACCAGAACTGCCTGAAGTCCAGCTTCTCTGGTGAATAAGAGTAATACAACTAACATGGTTCACCTGATTTCCAAAAGGCTTTTTCAAAAGTTCTCTACTCAGGCCTTTTAAGGATATTAAGCAGCTGTAGCACAAGCAGCAAGTACCTGCATGGAGAAAAAAAAATGGTTGTAGTATAACAGAAAGGGTAGAGGTAAATAGTCAGTTCTTGCAGCAAACGAATGGTGGTTAACCAGTGGTGCTCTGCTGTATCTGATATATGTTTACACACAGATATTATGTGTATATATGTGTATAAATTGATACTGTATTTACATTTTATATTTTAATGTGTGTATATACATATGTATAAGTAAAACATATACATACATACACATATATAAATGATCAGGAAAAGGGCAGGAATAGTAAGGTAAGTGTGCTGATGATAATAACTAAAAAAAAAAAAGCTATTCAGGATAGCAAGGATGAAAGAAAGCTGAAAAATTGCACAAGGACCTTATGAGGTTGAGTAATTGCATAATAAATTACTAAATTAAATTCAGTGTAGTTAAACATAAAGTGAAAAAAAGTTATTCCTAACCTCACATATAAAATGATGAGCTTTTAACTGAGCTTTTAACTGACCATTACAACTCAGGAAATTGCTCTTGAGATTATGAAAATATTAGCTCAGTAGCGGTCAGGAAAAACAAAGTGAGAAAGAACAAAATAGAACATGTCATTATGTCACTGTATTAATCTTGTCCACACTTTTAGTGCTGTATTCAGGCTGGTTCTCACATTTCAAAAAGGATATAGAAGAATTGAAGGAGTTGCAGCAAAAGGCTAGAAGTATGGAACAGTTTCCATTCAAGGAACAACTGAATCGGATAGCGTTCTTAAGTGTGGATAAGAGATGGTTTAGGTAGGATACAACAGATTTGCAAAATCAGCAGGGGACGGGAGAGAATAGATAGGAATCAGTTCTTCACTCTCTTTGCCAAGAGAAGACCTAGAGGCTATCAAATGAGTGTAGCAGGAACCAAGCTGAAAACAAAGAACAACAAAAACGGTGGTTCTACACTGAAGAGGAGGTAGTAGAGATGTGGAACTCCTTAGCAGAGGTTATTTTGGATGCTTAAGGCTTATGTAGGTTTAAGGAAATACCAAATAAGTACTTGGGAAATAAATCTCTTAAGAATTACTGACCACATAAAAAAAGTATGTCTAGTTTTGGAGAAGCCTTGAGATCAAAAAGATTGGAGACTGGTAGAGAAGCTGTAAAAAGGTATCTCGTATACTTGGCCTGTTCTTCCTCTTCCTCATTCTGGTCTGATTTTGGCCTCTGTTGGAGACATGATACTGTATCAGACAAACTTTCATCTGGTGCAGTATGGCCGTTCTTATCTTCTTAATTTTGGGTAGGTAAAACTCTGTATCTAATCTTATCGATTTTGTAGTAAAAATTGTAAATTTTTTTACTGAAACAGGTAAAGTGGCCCATTTGAAAGGAGTATCATAAATATTTCTTGATGGATATTTCCTTACCATGTGTGTGGCTCAAGCACAGCGTGGTGCTTTTTTCTGTTTGCATCCAGGGCCATACTCCCTTGAAACAAAAAGATTAAGGAACTTTTTTGGACATTTTCTGCTGGGGCACACACTGGGAGATGCTCATATTTTTCATTGTAGTATTCTAAGGTTCCCCTTTCAGATTCATGAAACCATGGTTAATTTGAGCCTCTAGCCCATAGGGATTACATGATTAATCTCTGATAATTTTTAAAGCTCAAGTGCAGCTTCAGAGTTCAGCACCTTAAAAATTCTGTACCAAAGCAAAGGGTGGGGTGCAGCTGTAGGTAAGAGTGCATTATTTATGTCAAATTTGAGGAATAATGTGTAGCTGTATAATTAAAAACTACGTGTAATTGCATCTTTGTATTAGGGACAGTATTTCTACAGGTACTTCCCTTTTATATGAATAGTCTTCCAGATGCTGGCACAGGGCCATTACACCTTCCTTTAAGGGCTGAAGTAGCAAATCTCTTAGTTCAGAGATCTATTTTCAGATGTGGCTAAGTTGTAAACCCTTTACTTGAGGATCACATTATGAAGCACATCAGTTACAGTGGCCTGACAGCTTCCCTAAACCAAGAGAGTTTGGATAAAGATGCAGGTTATTTGAGATGGTACCTGGTTTTGTTCTAAGATCTTTTCCTGCTGGGCTGGGTGGGATCAAAGGACATCTGTTGACTCTTTTTTTTTTTTTTCCTTTTCTTCTTTTCTTTTTTTTTTCTTTTGCTTGTAAGCACTGATGTTGATCACTTTAATTTTATCCTATAATTGAATGGGTTACTATGTTTATATTCTTAGTGTTTCATTAGTTTTCAAGAGGATTGCTGTACTCCTGTCAAGATAGGTAGTTTTCTCACAGGAATTGGATAAATTATTCATAAGAAAAATTATAGGCCTCAACAATAGGAAATATTTATGAGACTGCTTGAAGACAAGCTAGTTTCTGCTTTTCTTGCATGCTTGGGATATAGCAGTCTCCTAGCCACCCTTCCTGCAAAGGATTGTAGGGAATAATTTTTTCTTTTTCTTTTTTTTTTTTCTTTCCTCTGCAGCATTAAAGCTGGGTCCAGAAGCATTCAAATTTGATGGTGGTGTAGAGGCGGTGGCAGTGCGGCAGAATGAGAAGTATTACATCCTAAGACCAGAGGTGATTGAGACCTACTGGTATATGTGGAGATTCACCCACGATCCCAAGTACAGGCAGTGGGGCTGGGAAGCAATGCAGGTAAATGTATTCATTATCTGTCAGTAAATTAATTCTTCGTATTTTCCTTTTGTAGCCACTTTCATCCTCTGGTGCTGAAACACTTCAAATGGTAATTGATTTTCACAAGTCACTGTAAACCAGGGCACCTATGGGGGTGCACCCAGTTATTCCTGTTTTGCAACTGCTGAAACAGATGCACAAATGAGAGACGTGTTCAGCATTATACAGCTGATGCGTTTTAGGCATGGAAATAGAATCCACTGGTCATGACTCCTACTGTTATCAGTAGTCCACAGCCCCCAGGAGAGGTAATTCATCCTGGGAAATGAAAGTGTATTATAAATAAGTTTGTTAAGCATGTGCTAGCACTCAGATTAAAAGACGAAGCTATTCTTACAGTTTCTTCTTGGTTGGGTATTGAAAGACAAGTAGTAGGACAACTATTCTCAGACACTTTGTAGACTAGAGAGCATATACATACGTATACATGGGTTGGTATCTTCTTTCTTTTCTTAGTTGTCTGATTGGAAGGAAAATAAAATTGCCAGTCAGTTTAGATTTACTGAATTATAACAAAAGATTATACCACTAGAAGTAGACCAGTAAGGGAAGTGAATAAGTAATGGCACATAAAGCAGAACTTTAAAATTGTTGCTAAGGTTTTTTAGAGACTGCTGGGGTTGGTTTGGTTGGTTGGTTTGGTTGGGGTTTTTTGTCTAGAACTGCTAGGTTTAAATCTAGTTTTTGTATGTTTTAATCAAATTCCCAAGTGTGAAAATGCTTCTGAGTCTTTCTCGTTGGAAATGCTCATAATGGTCTACAGAAGCCAAGATTCATTGTAAAACTCTTAACACAGATCTGTGCTCATGGTCTTCCTTCATTCATCCTTTGTACATAGATGGATAACTCCTTTGCTGGTAGTCATAGATTATGGCCTATATGATTAACTAGGCTTCATTTTCACAGGACAATATAATATTCTAATTGTAAAAATTATTTGTAATCCCCAAAAGACTTTTAAATGCTTCCTGGGACTGAACTTGTGAACTGGTTTTGGTCTCATGTTTCTCTCTTCCACCTGCTGGTCTGTAACTGAGGTCGTGCAAAACTAATTTGCTGGCCAAGCAGTTTTGTGGTCATCTTCAAGATCTGTGGATTACTACAACTCCTCCACTTCCCTGCTACAGCTCCAGCAGTCTTTGGAAGCACAGCTCAAAGCCAGTTTCAGAGATGCGAATAAACATTAAAGATAACAAGACACTAATGAAATATTTTGAGTACAGCCGAAGGAGATGAGGGAAGAGCAAAGGAAGAGACAAACCAAGAGCCAGGAGAAAATCTATTCTGCAGGTGAAAAGCAGTTTCACTCCACAGACCCAGAAAAAGTACTTGGAGCATGACATCTATTGAGAAGTCCTTATTCATCAGGTGGAAGATACTTAAGGCAGGTTCAGAATATTTAGCTGAGCTCATCCCCATCCTTCCCTCAGCACAGTTACAATCATGTAGAAGAGTCCAAGTATTTTAAGATTGTGTCTTAGTCCTGGTTAGGTTTTGCCTTGTAGACTGTTTTGTTACAACCAACATTATGTTAATCTGTAGAAAGGTTCCACATTTGTCACATTCGTATTCCAGAATGCATTGCTGCTCTCTCAAAAACATCAAACATTGAGTCACATCATCCCTCCTGCCCAAACTATGCATGTTTCTAATATGAGAAAGAAATGGATCCTTGCCAGTGTGTGTACTACAAATGCCTGCTGATCTAACACCAGCTGCTGTCAGAAGCTATGTCTGGATGATCCAAGCTGAAATTGGGTCCTTTGTACTAGGTTAAAGAATTTACAAATACAAATTTTTCAGGCCAAGATCTGTCTCTTAAACACACTGCAAAGCATGTCTTTGAATTGCATTTTGTTCAGTTTTCTCCATTTGCCTTCATATCTTGGTCCCCATTAATGCTTTCAAACCAAACCCTCCCTGCTTCCTCCTCTGCCTCCAATTTTCTCTGTGTGCAGGGTAGGATTTTATTTTATCCTTCTGTCAACCTGCATTGAAGTTGTGTAAATCAAGCAGCCCATGTGCCTAACTGACTCTATCCTTACAGAGTGCCTTTTTTTGCTTGCTTCCTCAATAAAGAGTTTCTATATCCAACATAGCCATAAAATATTTTTGAACTCTCCGTAAATGGTTTTTCATACCCCTCCCTCCCACAGTTACAGATTTTCTTTCCCTTACCATCATACTAACACAGAAGCTCAGAAAGCTTTTTGTTCCCCATGGTTTTCTGTTCCCTGCATATAGATAATAAGTTCTTGTGTTTACTCCTCACACCTATTCACTGCTTTCCCTTCTTCCCTGCCACACGCAGCTCTGGTTGTGTTTATTTCTCCATTTATACATAGAGAAGAATCTGGTCTGACACACAGAGCGCTTGGCTTGCTGCTTGTGTACAACACTGTCTGTATTTGCTTTCCTCTTGCCTTTCAGTCACTGAAGCATACTTTGAAATCTGTATTACAGATTTCTCACGGTGAATGATATCTTCTTCATCAGAAGTCTAGTAGTTTTTTTAAACTTTTGGGGAAACTGAGTTTTGTTTCTGGGTTCTAAATGGTCTTGTTTTTCTACATTGAACCTGGTGTTTGATGACTGAGTTCTGGGTGGTCTCCCTTATTTGCTTCTTTGAATGGATGAATACATCCCTACCCAAGTGGATTTGTGTTAGTTCACCAATAAGTTAGAAGTCTGTTTTTGTCATTTTAAGAACTCTTCAGAGATTATCTAGAATACATTGCAGAACCACCTGGCTTTTAAGTACACTGCATTACTTAAGTTTCCTTAGCATTCCCAGCCCAGATCTCTCTCTGCCTTTTATCAATGGGAATTTGCACAGAGGACTGGATTGTATGTGTATGCAGATCTTTGCACTGCACTTTCTTTATCTATTTCACCATTGGCAGCTTCTTTTTGGTTTTATTATCTGGATTTTTGGACAGCACTTGGGCATTTTAGTGCAGGTGGTGTGCTTTCACCAAGGCCTGTTTTGTCACATCTCTCCAAATCCAATGTCTGTGGAGAAAAAACAGGAAGTTGAATCGTATATTCCCTCAGCTATCATAAATTCCTGTGACAGGGTCTCTTATGTCTTTCCTGATAAAAAAAGGCTAATTCTCCCTAATACTATACTTAGCACTAGAGACAACATCCATCTCAATTGTATCAGGCCAGCCAAATTGGATGATGGTATGCTGGGGGGGCCTGGCTGAAGTATTACAGAAATACACATGCAATATATTCAGCGTAAATACAGAGAATTACTAAAATCCTTTTCAGGCTCATTCTTTGAAAGCAGTAAGAGCCACCATTTCACAATAGGCATGTAAAGCCAATTACTAATCTAAGCTGTGTGAATGAAGGGTTCAACTATTTGTTGGGGACTTCTATATCTGACTAAGTAGGATTGCACCATGGAGGCTGCAGAGTTCATTCAGAATTTCTACTTACAGTGAAAATAATATACAAGGCCTCAAGTTTGGGCTAACATTGGGCAAATTGAGAATTTGCAGTGAGATGGAGTAGAAAGCTATATAGCTCTTTACTTAGTGAAGCAAAGTAGACAGAAAAAAACCAGGCATAGGTTGGAGGTGAAAGGAACAGGGGTACAAAGTTCATGGGTTGGAAGCTGTGAGTACCAGAAAGAGGTGTTTTGGGAGGTAAGCTGGTGAAGAAACTGTTTTTATGAGCATGATATTGGCATAGTCAAGAAGAGTGACACATGCAACCACAAAAACACCCTCAGAGGAACTAAGGGACCTGAGGTCTGATCTAGAGGAACCTCCAATTTTAGTTCTAAAGAACTTAGATCAACTCTGACCTCCTTGTACGTCATGGGCCCTGGAATTTCACTTTATGTCATTTTTAAGCCAAGACACGTTTATTTGGCAAGAGTATACTACTGCATATTCTTCTGTTCTACTCTTGATTTGAATAAAGGGAACTGGAAAATCCACTTCTTTTGGTAGTTTGTTCTATTATTTAATTACTTGTGCTGTTAAAAAATATATGCTTTATTTCCCATTTGAATTTGTCTAGTTTCAGCTGTCAATCAAAGGATTTTCCTGTGACTTCCTATACTATATTAAAATTAAAATGTCTTTTATTCCCACGTTTTCTTTCCAAAGAGTTTTCATGGATTGTAATAAGCTTACTACTGAGTCTACTTAAGAGGCTAAACAAATTGTATTGTCTCCCGCTGTAAAGCATTTTCTCCAAATGTCTGCACCCACATCAGTTCATCATCCTTTTTTTAAAAATGAATTCTAGAATTGCATATTCCAGTTTTGATTTTAACCACAGCCCTGTGCAAAAGTAAAATTACATTCCTGC